CCCCCTTTTCCTCCCACACCCCCCCCCCCCTTACACATAACCTTTTCTTTAGCAGCCTTGGGAGGGGAGAAGGGGAATGATATAGTGTCACTTGAGTGACAGCTGTGAGTCTGCCAACATCACATCTACGATGGCATTGCCCAGCAGCAGTCTCAGGGCTTTTGGATGTCTACACAAGGGAGGCTTTTTCAGATAAATAACATGCATAGAATTTTATCTAAAATTTCTGTTAAATAAAGGGTCTCATGACAGGTTTTTTTTTTTTTTAACATGAGAGCTAGTTCTATACATTGGAAAATGTAGTTGCTACTAACCATGTCTACACCATTTTTATTTTCACATAGTAGAACAAATCAAAGCTTCCTTTTTTAAACATAAAGGCATTTCTGCTTTATTTTAGCTACATCTCCTACAGAAATCCGACAGCCACCTTTACAAGGCAAGTATTTATTTTTACTGGAAAAAAAATCATCTTTTAAGTCTCGGCTTACTTCTTTTGTGAACTTTCAGTAAAACATAATAAATAGGACGTTATTAGGCACAGATTCCTACCAACTCAAAAATGTTTAAATGGCCCTTTGGTCAACCTGGAACAACTTAGAACATTTCGGCTCAAATAAAAACTTCTGTAGTTCATAGCAGCAGGTTGTGCATATCTCTAAATCCGGAAATAGTTTTCTCTGCTTTATGTCTTAAGCAGGTGTGGCTGCTGCTGTTGAAATTAGCTTTATTTTCATATGCCGTGCACCCAGAATAATTTTGCACATGTAACTACTCATCTTTAAAGCAGACCTGTGCTTTGTCCACACAGGACTGAGGAAAGGGTAAATATGTGTAGCTTAGGGCAAGGGTAAAGCACAGGTTCAATGTAAAGCTGAACTCTGGGCTAGAGAAGAGGTTCACCTTGCAGTAGAACCCCTGGACACTGCAAGGGTTAATGTATAAATTATGTAATTATATGCACCCTTACCTTGTCCTTGGTGGCGCCACCTTCCTCACCCATGGCCTTGCATCTGAACCTCCTCTGTCAGGCTCTCTACCTCCAATCAGTGCACCTTTTTATTAGAAAGTCCTCTGACCCTTTCTAGCATCTCCCACCCTATCTCTTTACAACTCATAATGTAAATGGAGGGCAGGTGCAGAAACTAGTGTTCATACTAAAAATGTAGAACGTTAATAGGCACAGATTCTTACCTATTCATAAATGTTCAAATGGCCCTTTGGTCAACCTGGAAGAACTTAGAAGATTCCAGCTAAAATAACAACTTATCTAGTTCATAGCAACAGGTTGTACATATCTCTAAATATATCCTGAAATAGTTTCCTCTGCTTTATGTCTTAAGCAGGTATGGCTGCTGCTGTTGAAATTAGCTTATTTTCATAGGCCATGCACCCAGAATAATTTTGCACGTGTAACTACTCATCTTTAAAGCAGACCTGTGCTTTGTCCACAAAGGACTGAGGAAAGGGTAAATATGTGTAGATTAGGGCAAGGGTAAAGCACAGGTTCAATTTAAAGCTGAATTCTGGGCTGGAGAAGAGGTTCCACTTGCAGTAGAACCCCTGCACAATGCAAGGGTTAAATGCCCATTTTATCTATGGGATGATGAATAAGATGTACTTGCCTTATTCCTCTCTCTGTCCACAGCTGACACTTTTCTCTGCTGTCTAACACTCCTGGATGGGGCCCTCGGCATCCTCACATACAATACAGGACCATGCTGGTGCTGCATTGTATGTGACGATGTCGGGTGGCTGTGCCCGGTCAGGCAGCAAAGAGATGTGACTTTGGTGGATCAGTCTTATATAGTCGAGGAAGTCTGCAAGAGTGGGGAATAAGGTATTTCACCTTATTGCAACCCCCCTAGAAAAAATAGGCATTTAACCCTTGTAGAAGTGGTCCCACTGCAAGGGTAACTTTTCCTCCAGTCCAGAGTTCAGCTTTAAGGAGTCAGTGGAAGTCATGATGTATGGCCCAACATCCACCATTGGCAGTTTTGAGATGCTGTGAAGGATACTAGGCCATATATGGCTCCTATTTTTATATATCCTTTTACATATGCACAACTGTTACTAGCATAAGGGTACCATAAGCAGTTTTCTTTTACTGTGCAGATGTGAAGGATGTGGGTAAGCAGGTCAGGTATTATGTCCCCATTGCAGTTCTCTGCTACATGACACTTAACCTTATTCCATATATTTTATAGAGTCTTGTCAGAACGTGGAGATAAAACAGAATGATGACAAACGGTTCTTAAAGTTTTTCCGGAGAAGCACTAAAAAGAAGCGGGATCAGGTAAGATGATCACCTCTGCTCAATGCACCCATGTTCTTCATGATATCTTGTTTTATAGACTAAACAACCTCGTATGGAACTGTCATGAATAGTCACCTAGATTAATGTTTTGCCAACCACTAGAAAAGGCCTAGTGCCCAAGGCACACTTGAATCGGTCCATAAGATTAGGTTCATAAAGTCATTACCACAACAGCTGCAAATCCAAAATTTCCAATTGTTGCACTAGTAAAAAATGCATCCAGCTTGCACCTTCCATGAGCATAAACCAGTAACAAGTAATGTGTTAGGTTATGCAAATAATGGATTTGGCAGCTAAAGTGAAACTCCATCTTTTTTAGTTTTAGTGGGAATGCAGAAGGGTTAGAACTACCATCAGAATGTTATCCCTGTCTGTTTGGAAGATCTACTTTCACTACTTCCCTCGATGACCCCTTATGATGAGGAAAGGAAGTGAGAGGACACAATCAGCAATAAATAACACACAGATTCAAACACTCCCCAATTAAATCAGCACACACTTTTTTTATTTTTTAGTTACTTTCAAAAGAAAAGCTCTACTGATCTCAAAGTTAGTTCCTCACTTGGATAAAATATCAGGCACCTCCTTGCTACAGAGAAAACTGTTGCTTTAACCCCTTCGTGACGGGAGACTTACACTGTACGTCCAGCCAACTCTTCTTTTTTTATATTTTATTTGTCCTAAGTGAGGCGTTAGACACACATATGTGATATAAATATGTAGCCCTATCTGTCCTCTAAAAAACAATATATAATATGTGTGGGTGCACTTTGTAAGAAAGTATATTACTGACGTGGAAGAATCACACAGCAAAAATTTCAAAAGTGTGTCAGTCATTTACAAACAGAAACTAAAAACAAGCTCAGTCATGAAGGGGTTAAAGGCACACTTCTAAGTTTTCTGTTTTCCTCCATTCACATGGGCAAACTTTTTGCTTTGATTTTGTGTGTGTTTCACAGACTTAAATAAATACACTTTAAGGGTCATATTTATAAAGCAGTAAAGGTGCCCTTTATCAAACATTCACTGGTAGTGAATCATTCAGTGTCATTTAAAACATGCACCAGGTGCAGATGTTAGTGAATTGAAACAAGCAATGGAATTTGCCATGTGATCCCTTACTGTCGCCATTAAAGCGGACCTTTACACTCAAAAATCAAATTCTACCAATGCATCTCTCTATGTATGATGGTTAATAATAACATAGACATGTCAGGTGTGAAATTCTGTGATTTTGAAATACTTACACTTGCAGAGCATTCACTTCCTGCTTTGAAAGGGCAAAATGACTTCAGTTTGGCAAAGCAATTCCACACTGGGATTGTCTTGTCATCAGTAGAGCATTGCTGGGTAACCTCATTTGTAATCTAATTCTGTAATCTGGTTCTCAGGGAAAGGCATTTTCCTCCCCTGAGATGATGTGCATTGTCACATGACTAGTCACATGAGCCAGTAATCTAGAAAGTAAAAGGAGAGCTAGTAACCTGCCCTTAGTAAACATGGCCACTGTCAGAAGACTGCGGAAGAAAAGAGAAATAAGGTGTGCAAAGAATACAAAGCCGGCCATTATCTAGAAGTATGTGTTTGTAGATTGTCATTACTAAACATTTCTATAGATGTGTTTGTGGTTATTTTAAAGATATGGGTAAAAGTCTGCTTTAAGCAGTTAAAAGAAAACTCTTAAACCTTATTTTTCATAAACCTTTTTTTGCATTTTCCAAAATAAATGTATTTTATGATTTGGATTTATAGCACTCCTCCTCCCCTTGTTGCTTCAGTAACTGTTAACATTTACATTCTCAGGGACAGTAGAGAGACAATGGGCCCAGTTCTCTAAGCCTGCCATTGTGATTGGTGTTTTCAGCCATGTGGCAGTTTTTCAGCTCTCGTTGCTGAACATAACGGTGGTTACAGCTTAGTGGTTTGAGCTTTATCAGTGCTATTCTGGACCAGGGGAGGGGGTGTTCTGGTCACATTATTTACACACCACAGAGAACAACTGTTGTTTGAAAGCCTGCCTGCTGTTTGCTCAAAGACTGCCAGCTAAAAATGTGACAAAGGGGTGAAATAGAGGCAGAATAAAAGAGAGGAAACTTGGGAAAATTATATCTTTGTGAAGACGGTAGAATACTAATTCTGCATTTCTCACTAAAAATGCACTAAAAGGTGAAATTATTATGTTCTGAAGGACAAGTTCACGTTGAAAAATGAAGATCCAAATAACCTGCAAGTGCTTTTTATGGGCACCCTAGGAAAAAATGAGTATTTAAAGTGACGCTAAACTCAGGAGTTAAATCTTAAAAATGCATTTAAGTACCTTAACTATTAACAAAAATGTATCTTATTTGTGTATCACTCGGCTGTAGATCCTCAAATCATCTCTGAATTCATTCTGACACTGTCCTTCCTTCTGGAGGGTGGCTCCCCCATGGTCCCTGTGTGTGTTGTAAAGTAGCAACCACTCCAAGTGCACTTCTGTGATGGACTACAATTTCATACTAATTTACATTGAAATTATAGTCTATTGCATGAGTGAGTTTGGAGCAGTGGCTACACAGGGACCACGGGAAACTAAAGTAGTCACCCTCCAGAAGGAAAGACAGTGTCGGCACCAATTCAGAGATGATTTGAGGATCTACTGCTGAGTGATACACAAATAAGCTACATTTTTGTTAATAGGGTACTTGAATGCATTTTTATGATTTAGTCCTGAGTTTAATGTCTCTTTTAACCCTTGCATTCTGGGGGAGCCCCATTGCAATGGATGATTTTTAATTTCCCGGGAATTCATCTTTAATAGCTGTTGACATAAGATATCAGCCGAATAGGGGTATTGTTTTCAATTAGTTGGCTGACCCATTAACCTGGAAGGTGACAAGGAGCAGTAAAGCAAAACTAATGTGTAGCAAAGCAGACTTGAATTTTTAATTAGCAAATATGGCTGCCCCCATATACTGTACATATACAGTATAATCTCAAACTATACATAAAAACAAGTTTTTTAATGCATTTTATCACATAGATTAAATATTTACATCAGGCTGATCTCTTATACATGTATCTTAAAAAATAATGTGCAGTTACTGGTCATGATGGCGGTCAACTATATGCAAGTGTGAATACATTGCATCAGTGCCGGGAGTATTTAATTCTGAAAACACACTACTAGGAGAAATCTAAAATGGTGAAATGCACTGTTGCAAAAAAAATATTTCAAGCAACCTTTCAAATGGTATCCTTTCCTCAGCAACTCTCCTGTCCTTTGCAGACCTCCAGTGCTCCGGCCACTCCGTTGCTCAATAAACAGAGGCCACCACAAGCGGTGAGAGAAAACACTGTCATCAAATCCTACGACTCCAACACTTTGCCTTCCGATGTGCCAAAGAAACGGAGAGCTCCGCTGCCACCTATGCATCCCCCTCAGAACAACCCCATACCCCGCGGACAGATACGCACTTCCTCTTGTGTTGTGAAGTCTACCAGTGTGGACGAATCGGGAAAGGTACATGTTGTTTAATTTTAGGTTTGTTGCAAGTACATTTGTAGAATGGTATGAAAAGACTTTCAAATGAAACATGTCTAATTTGTGCATATATTTAAATGCAGCAAAATCCTTTTTCATTTCGGCTAGCGAGAAATACCTCCAATATGTTAATAATTTAGGCTTATTGTTAAAATTGTTGTGGGAAAAAACTTATTTATTGGGTGAGTGTTGCTAGTGTGTAAGTGTTACTGTTGGTGCAATAACCAGCCAAAAGGTGGGGCAATGTGCATAGAGTTGTAGGCTCTGAAAAGGGTTGTCGCTCTTGTTTTGCCTATGCAGTCATATCGAACAGAAGAGGTGGAATCACAGTACTTACAGTCATGTCCAAAAATATTGGTACCCCTGCATTTCTGTCAGCTAATGCACCACTTCGCGCAGGAAATTGTTGCAATTACAAATGTTTAGGCATTCTCATGTTTATTTATTTATTTTGTTTGTTTTAGTATGACACAAAATTAACAGCTTTTTGACGAAACAAAATGACAGCTTTCTGGTAGGGCTGCGGAAATTAACGATTAATTTCTCGATTAATCGTTAAACTTTTTGATCGATTTAAAATAATTTTGATATCTAATGAAAAAACTCACCTCTCCGACGTCTTCCGGGAGTCCCGTCCGGTGACGTCACGGACATCGACGTCACCGGACTCCTCCCCCCTTCCCCAAGTGGCTCCGTCGGCTAACGAAGGGAAGGGGAGGAGTCCGGTGACATCTATGTCCGTGACGTCACCGGGCTACTCCCCCTTCCCTTCGTTAGCCGACGGAGCCACTTGGGCCGGTGAGTTTGCCCATGAAACTTTCTACACGAGCGCCAGCCAAGGCATTGGCCTATACACATACAGCACAGCAATGAAGTAATAAAATGAACTAGGATCACACTAATCCTGCACGTTATTATTCTGAGTTGCCCCACTCAAGCGGCGGCCATATTGAGTGGGGCACGTGAGATTAATAACGTGCTGGATTAGTGTGATCCTAGTTCATTGTATTGATTGCTGTGCTGTATGTGTATAGGCCAATGTAGTTGGATCTGTATGTGCGTTTATAATCGAAATTAATCGATTTTAAAAAAATTTGATTAATCGAACACGAAAATTTTAATTATTAACAGCCCTACTTTTTGATAAAGCCCATACTACTGTTTTCAGTAAAAGAAATGAGGCCTTTAAGGAAAAAACTACACTCCCTACAGTCAAACATGGTGGAGGTTCACTGATGTTTTCGGGTTGCTTTGTTGCTTCAGGCACTGGATGTCTTGACTGTGTGCATGTCATTATGAATTCTGAAAACTACCAAAGAATTGTAGGGTGCAATATAGGGCCCAGTGTTAGAAAGTTGGGTCTCCGTCAGAGGTCTGTCTTACAGCAGGACAATGACTCAAAGCACTCAGAAATGGTTTCAGACAAAGCGCTGGAGAGGAATGGACTGGCCAGCAATGAGTCCAGATATGAATCCCATTGATCTCAAAACAGCAGTTGGGAAACGGAACCCTTCCAATCTGAGAGACCTGGAGCAGTTGGCGAAAGAAGAGTGGTCCACAATTCCTGTAGAGAGGTGTAAGAAGCTCATTGATGGTTACAGGAAGCAATTGATTTCAGTTATTTTTTCCAAGGGCTGTGCTACCAAATATTAATTGAGGGTGCCAATCATTTTGTCTAGTCCATTTGTGTCAGGTTTGGCTTTTTTTTTCTCCACTTGTTTGTGTCATACCAATACAAACAAAATAAATAAACATGAGAATGCCTAAACATACGTAATTGCAACAATTTCTGCATGAACTGCAGGGGTGCCAGTATTTTTGGCCATGACTGTATCTTTATCTGCTCCAACTATTTATGTAGCTGCTTGGATGGAATTGTCTTTTAAAGTTGCAACTAAACAATAAAGTTTAAAATTGAGCTACCAACTTCTAATTGCGTTGCTCTCCTTTAAATCCCCTGCTGCCCTATACTGAGCTATAATGTGCAAACTGAACTTTTTCATTTCATACTTGTCCTGAAGATCCAAGTACCCCTGTTTTTCTCTGGAGAGGTAACAGTCCGGTGCTCCATGACATTGGTCAAAATTATTGGTTATTAGGGGGTGTCCACATGACCAGTGCCTCAGTGTTGGTCACATGACCATTACAGTAGAGGTAGGAAAGGTAGTACTTTCAGGATCATTACATATTACACAGGTTCTGTAACCACATTTTAGTATATTGTAAGGGGGGTGTTAATTGCTTGAAGATCTAATTGCAATCGATTCTGAATATTTTAAATGAAAAGTGTTGCCTATGAGCTTGTAAAGAGTTTTCCTGGCACTTCCCTGTGTCACCACATATACACCAGTGCTGCCATGGTAAGGCGCCAGCACGTGGTGCTGATGGAACTAGTGCTGGCGTTGCGAGGCAATAGGAAAGTACAATTATGGTAAGCATTTTGAAAACAATTTTCTGTGAGTTTTCAATTGCATAGATGCTCACTGTGTGCTGGGCAATCCCACAGTGCTTAAATTGAACCCTTCTGCTGCTCTTAACTTTCTACTGCCAATTACAATAACTGACAGTACACAATATGTTCGGTACTTGTGCATGCTTTGTTACACACCCCTAGCCCATCATGTGACAATTCACGGACCTAGAAATTGGCTGCTCAGGTTTTGAGTGCTGTTTTTTAGGAAAAGCCGGAGCAGCACTAAGGGTAGGCTGTGCCATTGAAGAGTGCTCAGAGTGGAAGTTGGGTTTGGGTTTTTACTTAGCTTAACAAACGTGTCATTTACCATGCTTCTTCTTTGTAGTGTGTTTCAGGGTTTGACCGATCAAGAACTGGCTCTTTTCAACACGGTGGAACATCTTCCTTTAATTCTTCTATCAGAAGAACAAAACGCAAAGCCCCCCCACCACCAGCTCCACCGTCCAATCCACTGCAAGCCAGTGATGAGAACAGCAATGAAATCGGTAAAGGCAACATAAAAAAAAAAACCTTAGTGACACGAAATTATTTGTCTTATCCCTCAACTGTAGGTCCTCAAGTCATCTCTGAATTGGTGCTGACACTGTCCTTCCTTCTGGAGGGTGGCTATCTTTCTTCCCTATGGTCCCTGTGTGTATTGTAAAGTAGCCACCGATCCAAGCTCACTCCTGTGATGGACTACAATCTCATGTTTAGTTTGCTAATTCATATTGAGATTGTAGCCCATCACGGGATCGAATTTGGAGCGGTGGCTATTTTACAACACACACAGGGACCATGGAGAACAAAAGTAGCCACCCTCCAGAAGGAACGACAGTGTCAGCACCAATTCAGAGATGATTTGAGGATCTACAGCCGAATTATACACAAATAAGATACATTTTTGTTAATGCTAAGAGTGTTTGAATGTATTTTTGTATTTTTTAATATTTAACTCCTGTCTAGTGTCACTTTTTTAGAAAAAAAAACTTTTACAGCTGACAACACAGCTATTTTGTGGACTGAGTGGTTAATGGTGTCAGTCCTGCCCCTTGTATTTTGCTAAACTAATCAACCACTCCTGCACTGACATCTCTGCAACATAAAGGCTAAGGGCTCAGTCAATTTAGATGCAGTGCGTTCCGGCCCGATTTTGGCCGGAACGCACTGCCTCGCATTGCGGCCGGCTCACTTTTTAGTGGGGCAGGAGGGGGCGTGGCGGG